GGGGGGGGGAGAGGTTGTAATAAAGGTTTGCACTCTGTCCGTCCGTTCTTCCGTCCGAGAAGTTTGTCCAGGACATTTATTCTCTACCATTTCACCTGGAGTAACCATATTTTGTGTACAATGACATCTTGGGATGGCGGAGTGCAGAGTGCCAGAAGAAGGTCACTATGACCTCAACGTGACCTGTGCTTTGACCTTTGACCTTAACTTTTGAAATATAGTTTGTCCGAAGCATATCTCCTTAACTATTTCACCTGGAGTAACCAGATTTAGTGTACATGGACATTTTCGGATGGCAGAGTGCAAGAGTTAGGTCACTGTGATCTATGACTTGACCTTTGACTTTTTCTTTTGAAAATGTCTGTCTGGGGCATATCCTCTATACTATTTCACCTGGAGTAACCAGATTTGGTGTACAAGGACATCTGGGGATGGCGGAGTGCAGAGTGCAAGAAGAAAGTCACTATGACCTCAACGTGACCTATGCTTTGACCTTAACTTTTGAAAAAATTGGCCGGGACACTTCTTCTATACTATTTCACATGGAGTTACCAGATTAAGCGTACAAGGACATCTTTGGAAAGCTGAGTGCATAGTGCATGAAAAAGGCAATGCGACCTATGACTTGACCTTTGACCTTTACTTTAGAAAAAATTGTCAGAGGCACAATTTATATATTATTTCACCTGGAGTATCCAGATTTGGTGTACAATTCTAGCTTGGGATGACGGAGTGCAAGGGTGCGAAAAGAAGGTCACTATGACCTCAACGTGACCTATGCTTTGACCTTTGACCTTAACTTTTGAAATATAGTTTGTCCGGGGCTTATCTCCTTAACTATTTCACCTGGAGTAACCAGATTTAGTGTACATGAACATTTTCGGATGGCTGAGTGCAAGAGTTAGGTCACTGCGATCTATGACTTGACCTTTGACTTTTTCTTATGAAAATGTCTGTCTAGGGCATTTCTTCTATACTGTTTCACCTGAATTAACCAGATTTGGTGTACAAGGACATCTTGGGATGGCGGAGTGCAGAGTGCGAGAAGAAGGTCACAATGACCTCAACGTGACCTATGCTTTGACCTTTGACCTTAACTTTTGAAATAGTTTGTCCGGGGCATATCTCCTTAATTGTTTCACCTGGAGTAACCAGATTAAGTGTACAAGGACATCTTTGGTAAGCTGAGTGCACAGTGCATGAAAGGTCAGTTCGACCTATGACTTGACCTTTGACCTTTACTTAAGAAAAGTTTGTCAGAGGCACGAGTTATATATTATTTCACCTGTAGTATCCATATTTGGTGTACAATGCTATCTTGGGATGGCGGAGAGCAAGAGTTAGGTCACTGTGATCTATGACTTGACCTTTGGTCTTTACTTTTGAAAAAAGTTGGACATAAGTTTACTGTTCGTTAAATATAGAAATGGTTACTGGTGGTGGACTATGGATTGTCTTGCAATACTCTGTCTTGTTTTTTAATGATTCGGAAAACATTTGAATATATTTAAAGGGGCTATTGAGTCAAGTGACAACCTGAAAATCAAGTCGATACTGAAAATATATATATCCTTACGAAAGTTCACGTAGTTGATAATAACATGACCTGACGCCAACGTCCAGTGTGGTCAGTTTCGTCTTTTGGGAAAGTTTGTGATAAAAATAGCTACGACAGAAATAGTGCAATATCCGGGCCTTTCAGCAAGTAAACAACAACACAGTGCCAATTACGAGTCTGAGTTCACGCATAACGCATTCTTGAATTACACAATATATTGCAAGTAAGAATTATAAGTGTCATAATATATACATTTAATCAGATATTTCTGTTTCACAAAGACAGAATAATAACATGTATACCTAAAGGGGATAAACCAAGACAGTTTCTAAAAAATTGGC